AGCAAGATGATGATCCCTTCTTCAATGTGCTAAAAGTGAAACAATCAAGATCTCTAAACTTGTTTACGTTTTTGGCAAACATAGCTCTACATTTTTCAGATGTGTTTATGATGTCATTCCATTTAGAATGTCTCTCAGTAAACTGCAAGACTCCTACTATTTCCCAAGAGGGTTCAAATATAGGACTTGGAACCCAGGAATTCTCAGAAAATGATGTTTACTATCAAATTTCTACTTAAATGTAACAGAAATTTTCTAGGATATGCCACTGCTTTCCTATAGGACTTAACAAAATTTTAATAGACAATTACCAGGGCACTGAACGTAAAGCTATGCCATTCGTGGTTTTCTTAAGGAGGGGCTGGCCGACTATGGCCCATAGGCCAAATACAGCCCACTGCCTGTTTTTGTAAATAAAGTTTTATTGGAACACAACCACTCTCATTGGTTTCATATTGCCTGTGGCTGCTTTTATCCTATAACAGCAGAGTTGAGTAGTTGTGACAGAGACTATATGGTTGCAAAGCCTAAAATAGTTACTTATATGGCTTTTTACAAAAAAAGTTTGCAGACCCTCATTCTAAAGAATCCTTCAGTTAATCTTAATCGATCCAAATTATGCCTCATGAATGTCCTTAACACATGATTAAGTGACCACAGGAATGTGGCTTATCCTGCCTGGGCTTTTCTTCTCAATCTGTAAGAGGCAAGATTTGTCTAGATGGTTTCTAATGTAGGATTAATCATTGTGATTCTCAGCTAATGAGTAATTTCCTTCGTGAGGTTTGATTACTTCTGATTATCTGAGACATCTGCACCTCTTATGAGGTTGGAGAAACACTGGCAGGACACATCAGGAGATTCAAGTTCCAGTCCCTTCTTTGCCCCTAATTGACTAAACCTCTTGGTGCTTTGCTTGCATAAAATGAGGAGACTGGACAGAACAGGATGAAGTTTCCTTAGGTCAGATAATTATGATACAGTGTGTGAAGTGCCTCGTGGAAGGCCACACTGGCTGCGATGAAAGCCCAAGGAATGGCATCACATCTGGATTCATAGAGGAGAAGGGACTCAGAGGCTTCTTGGAGGAAGTAATGCCTAACCTGAGTCTTGAAGGATGGGAAGGAATTCATGCTGCTGGAGAATGAACTCACCAATAAAGCAAAAAGGTGTCTTATTGAAGCCATCCTTTTATTTGGTTGATTAGGAAATGTCATCTGTTTCAGCATCTAAACCCCAGGAAAGCTCTCTCAAAATTCAAACAGACTCAAATATGTACACTACACTCTGCTTCTGGATGCACATCATGGAAGGTCACCCTGTCCAGCAACTTTTCACAATATAGTCACCTTTTTTTTTTTGAGAAGAGATTTCTTTTTCTTTTTCATCCAAATACCAAGGTCACACCCAAGTATTGAAAAAGACATCAGCTGCCCCACAGGCATAGGTGATGTGATGACCACTGCATAGAACACCAAGGCTTCTTGGGAAAACGAAAATTAACGAGAGAGTGTGGGCAAAGGATCATTCCAGGGCTGTAGTCAAGGTCAACAAGAAGTGAGATAACTCTGATTTCAAACAACTTTGCCAGTGGGATTACGCAACATGCTTATGCAGCAGTCATTTTCATGTGGCTAAACCATCCAAACCTCCACAACAACAGATTCTGAAGGGAGGAGAATTATCTGAGTTGACTAGCCATGCAATCTCAATGATTCCTAAGTAATCGCTAGCTCTCCCACAATTCTAACTGTCTGTACTGTCGGAAGTAGAGTTCATTCATGCATTCAACAAATTTTAGTGAGTACCAACAGTTTTCTATATACTGGGGACACAGTCATGAACAAATGAGACAAAAATCCTTGCCCTGTGTAACTTACATTCCAGTGTGTCACCCTTGTATGGAGAAAAGGGTAAGGAGTTTTAACTTCTAACTAATGGGACATATAGCTATTCTGAACAGTCCTCAAGGGACATTTTGCAAGAGTCTAAGCCACATCTGAGCCAGCCTTCTCCTGAGCCGTTGTCCCTCCATCTTATTCTCTGTGCCATAGCTATGCACAAGACAGGGTAAAGCCAAGACAGCCTGATGCTATTTCCTTAATGTGCCTCATTATCAAGCCAAATGATTCCTAAAGCCTCAAAGCAAAAATGCTCATAGCTTTTGAACCACTTCTGGGAATCTTGACTAAGAATATAGTCCTGACTTCTGAAAGAATTTAGGTGCAAAAATGCGCATCACAGCTTTATTTAACCATGCCAAAAATAAATAAAGAAATAAGAATGAAAAAAGGCAAATTAATTGTCCAACTATAAATTAATGGATAGGTAAATTATTGTTTTTACATAAGATGAAGTAAGAAGCAGCCATTAAGATATTCGTAAAGATTCTATGATAATGTCGGAAAATACTTATTATAAAAGGTTAAATAATCAAGAACAAAAACCTATATACATATATTCAATATAACAAGCATGTGTAAAAATCTACTAAGAAAAATAAAAGTCTGATGGAAATGGTCCAAAACATTAACCATTTAATATACTTAGGTGTTGAAATTATGAGTATTTTTCTACTTTTTGTATTTTCCATTTTTTCTTTAATGAACTTTTATTTTTATAATCAAGAAATAATCATTTAAAGCCTAACTATCATTTTTAAAGGCAAGGATGAGGCAGTAAGAACAAGCATCAAACAGTTGATCATGGTAGCTAAGAGCCTGAGATCTGGATTCAAACTCCCTGGGTCTGGAGCCTGGCTCCCCAGGTTGCTGTGTGACCTCGGGCAAATTATTTAAACGTCTTCTTCCTCCAGTTTCCCACCTGCAAATAGGGTGATAATAGTGTCCACCCAAATGGGTTAGTATGAGAATTAGTAGATAATTCATAAAGAGTGTTTAGCACAGAGCATAACACCTCGTAAGCACTCAAAACCATAACAGATCCAATACTCCAGTGACCTCAAAAAAAGAGTTCACACAAGGAGAAAGGTGGGCAAATAACACATCTTCATGCCTCAGGGACAACTGACTCAGAGCTGTGTTTTCAGTGGGCGATTTTCCCTCAGGCAGAATCAATCCCCAAATCGTTTACTTCTATTTTCAGTTTTCCCCAGAAGAAGATGGACAGCATGTTGATACTCATTTTATGGGTAATTATTTCCTTGCTTTTTTTAATGCACTGGTCATGATTTATTGTGCGAAGTGCCTTTCAGTTTTAACAACTCTAAAAATTATGTTAATAGGACTGTAGGAAAACACTAATCATTACTTTAAGATGAAATGACCTCATAAAAAATATCGTTTATGGTGCTAACAGACAGTAGTTAATTTGAAAAAAAGTAATTGTCTGATAGAATCATATTTTTATGTCTAATGTCTGTTCCAAAAACAGTGAAGTCAAAAGCTGTCTCTTATCTCCTGCACCCAACATCCTTCCTCCTGTGCAAATTAAACCATCAAAATCTGAATAAAGTAAAGTGGTTGTTAACTAGGCCTGCACCTTGTCCACAACAGGCTTTTAGTAAATATTTATGGAAGGGACACCCTTGTCTGAAATTTTAGCTCTTATTTCTTGCCAATACTTATCTTTTCAAAAGAGTGAGAATTCAGTTAAGATTGCATAAATATTAACTCTTAACCAACAAAAAAGATCCAGAGTATAAGAAGGGGTTATAAGGAAAGAAATGTTAAAATTTGTTTCTCTACACCTCCTTCTTCTGAAATGGGGCATGATTTTTCTCCTTTGAGAGAGAGAGAGAGAATTATGCCTTTCAGCTTCCAGAAGTGTTCTTTACCCTAATTTCTAATCTGGGTCTCCTTGATCTTTTGACCCTACAAATTGTCTACTCAAAATAAGTGTGTGCTTCTGTTCAAGTTCTTGATTTGGCTTGGCAACCTTTCTCTGTCCACAGACTGTTTTCTCCTTGCATGGGGTATCTGCCTGCTTAATGTGATGAAAAGATCTTGAACCCTGGAGTTTCACAGGCTTAGATTGAATCTGGGGGGGCACTAGCTGTATCATCTTCATTCAGTCACTAGACCTTACTCAGCCTCAGTTTCTTTGTCTATAAAGTAGGCACAATAAATACATATCTCACAAAGTTACAACGGGGCTAGATGAGACAACAGATGCTACATGATTGGGCGTGGTGGGCAACTTGATTGTGTGTTCTTCCCTTCCCCTATGAGACTTTTTTGGGGTTCGGCCATCATTCGAATCCTAAAAGCCCTTGGTTTCTTTCCTATCTTTCCTTCTCAGACCAGAAGGCAAGGTTCTCCTAAACATGGGATTTTTAATTTAGAAGAACATTTGAATTCTAAATTAACTTCCACCCATTCACATTTATGTCCCAGGGGAACTGAAAAGGTAGGTGAGTTGGCGGCAAGGGCAGTCCCTTTTGGGTGGGACCTGAGAACTGGGATCTCGCCCAGGCCAGTCGGTTCCCATCACGTTCTCTTTCCTACCATCGAAGTCCGGGTCTGGCTCTGCCCACCGCCCTCCTCAGACCCGCAAAGATTAAGTTGATCAGTCCCCCTGAGCCGAGTTTCCTTCGGGAGGTGCCAACACTTAGACTGTCTCAAAATCCCAGAACCAGCCTGCCCCTACCCTGCAAAGGAAAGGTGAAGGAAGAAAGAGAAGGGATGGGAGATGAGATGCCACAGGTGACGCTGGATCGCACCGAGTTGGAGAGGAAACAGTCCGGGCCAACAGCTCTGCCCGACCTGACCTGGCCGGCTCGCTTCCCTCCCCGCTCGACCTGCTTCCCCGGGGCGGGCCGCGGGGAGCGAAGTCGGCCTCTGCCTCGCGACCGCTTCTCCACTCGCCCGCGTCCCGCCCGCAGCCCTGGCCCCGCCAGGTGCTCCCCGCAAGCTCTGCTCCGCGCTCTGGGCAGCCGCCCGCGCCGCCCCTCTGCGTTCCTCGGGGCGCGGCGCTGCGCTCCTGGACGCGGGGAGCCCGGCGGTGCGCCGCGCTCCGCGCCTGCAGGGGGAAGACGCTACCTGTGGAAGTAATGCGTGCAGAAGAGGCCCAGAAGCACAGTAGCAGGCAGGCTGAAGAAAGAGCGCGGCTGCCGAACGAGGATCCCCGCGGACACCGCGAAGGAGGGCAGCTCCTGCAGGAACCAGGCAGCGCGGGCAGGCAGGCGGATAGACGAGGACGTCAGGCTCTCTGAGTACTTCCCGTAGCCGGAGGGCTCCGCCAGGTACAGGACCAGTGCCCCCAGGACGGCCAAAGTGGCGCTGCCCGCCAGCACCGGGCTCTGTTGGCAGCGAAGAGGCATCGCGCCGTGTTTCTCTCGGGTGGCCGCCGCCTGCTCAGAGGAGAGGCGGTCCCCATGGCCCCTTTATGGAGCGCGTCGAGACGCCACCCCGTGTCCGCCCCTTCTGCCTTGGCTCCCGCCCTTCTATCCTGCCTCCCACCTGGCGCGACCAGCCCTGGCTCAGCTCAGCGGCTATGCTCCTTTCGCCGGGCTGGCGCTTCGGGAGGCCGCCAGGGCGGAGGAGAGGACGAAGACTTGTCCAAAAACGTGTCCTGGGGCCCCCAGGACTTCGACTAGCCCATGTCCGCGCCTCCGCCCGCGCGCCGGCTCTCTCCACCGCCTGCGCTCGGTCTCTCCTTTAGACTACCCTTCCATGACTTGTTTCTCACCGATCAACCTCTGATGCTGCAACTTCTGGGACTAGAAAATCAGGAGAGAAAACTACAGGGACAATGTAGCCGGAGTCGTTCTCCCGCCCCAACACACATCCTCTGTGTCATCATGACGCAGCCCCCAACCTCAGACCACCCCAAGCCAGGATTTCCCCAACCCCTCTGGTTCCCTACGCTCCTTCACACCCTGCCCGCTCCCACCCAACCCTATAGCCTTCCTTGGACCCTGGCATCCAGGCACTTGCCGCATCCGCCAGCCCTTCTGCGTTGGGGCGCCACGGTCCTTCGCCACTCTCAGCCCCCTCTGCACCACCTCCCCGAGAGGCAGGTACCAGCTTCTCCCGGGCCCTGACTCCTCCGCGGTTTCTTTCTACATTCCTGGGTGCGCTCCTGGGCCGCCCGCATCTGTTAAAGAGGCGCGTCCGCTGAGCGCGAGCGCGAAAGCAAGGATTGTGTCCGGGAGTAGTGACCCTGTGGGTACGCCCTTGCTCTTCTCCCCGGGGCCGCTGGAGCTGGCCAGACTCAGGCTAGCGTCTAGGGCTTCTGCCGCAGGACGCCCTCTCCCAGCTCCTAGATCAGGTGAATCGGGTTCAGTACGGTGGTGCCATTGGAGATGCCGCTGCGCTCTGAACACCCAGACGAGGTTCTTTGTCTCTTCCTTCTATTTGCCACCCCTCTCTCATCCTTCGCCCTCTCGTTCACTGTCTATTTCCTCTTCCCTTCTCGGATTCAGGATCCCAGACTTCCTTGGCCGCCCTCCTCCTGTTTTGTGCCTTTTCTACCTTCTTTCCTTGATCCGGTTTCCTCCTTCCAGGTTGGCCCCCTCTTCTCACCTGCTGTTGACCTCACTCGTCCACCTTCTTGTCCCATCTTCCTTGATTACTTTATCCGATTAATTTTCTCCTCTGGTCCCTACTTCAGGCTCCACCCCTGTCTTTCCCCTTCTCCTTCTCCCCTTTCTTGGGCGCTTTCTTCATCCTTCCTTCTTAGCTGCAACTCATTGCAACTGCCTCTCAGGAGCCCCACTCAGTATTTCCCCCTCTGCTCCTGCTCCGTCCTACTGGCTATTCCACTGAAAGGCACTGTCCCATCTGCCATTTTGGGCATGTTTCCTGATACCTGGGACACGTGTTATACCGTGATGCTTTAGTGCTGCAGGGCACCCTCTGCTTGCTGACCAAGAATTATTGATCATCTCCTTGTTGGGTTAAAAATGAAATAGTAATCATGCTTCAGTTTTCAGTTGATCACCGCTAGGAACCACTTATACTGACTGAAGTACTTGCCATGGAGTAATCAAGTGTCAGCTCTCACAGCTCCCTGGAGCTGTTTTTGCACTGGTTTTGCCCTGCAGATCCAGTCCCAGCTTCCTCAGTTACTACCTGCTGGTTGAAGACACCCAAATCTCCATCTCCCGCAAAGACCTGAGCTTCTGATCTCATTTCCTCCCTGCTGGACAACTCCACTTGGATGTCCTTCAGAGATCTCAAATTCGACCCTACCCAAAATGAACCAATTTATCTTGCCCTTCACGCCCCATCCACACCCAGATCCTCCCTGTCTCTTCCTGGTTATTACCTCTTCTCTGTCCACAATAGCCATAGACTTCCTTGAAGGCTGGCTTGTAGAGTTGGGAAACTATCCACTTCTTGATGCCATGCAGTATCAAGATAATAAGCAGTGTGACGTTTCAAACACAACTCAATGGAATAACTTTTTTTTCCTCCCTCTTCTCAATTCCCTCCTCTCCTTTCTCCTAACTTTGCCAAATTTTGGTCCTCATTATCTTTTTTTCACTACTGTATTAGTTAGCTTTGATGCATAACAAACTGTCCTAAAAGTCAATTATCTTCGGTTTATGCATCTGTGAGTCAGAAGAGTGTCAGCTGACCTAGGCTGGGTCTGGCTGATCTTGACTGTGCTCACTCATTCGTCGCTGGAGAAGCTGAGAGCCTTGCTCCAGGCTGGGTTTGGATAGAAATCCTTACGTGAGGCAGCTCTGTTCTACATGGCTCTCATCCTAGGATGAATGAGCTAGCCCCAGCGTGTCATATAGTCTCAATAACAGAAGCATAAGAGTACAAGAAATATACTAGATGTCTTAATGCTCAGGCCAAGAACTAGTACACCCTTACTTCCTGTTCATTCTATTGGCCAAATCAAGTCACATGGTGGATTCCAGAGTCAGAGCGGGAGAGTATTGCAAAGATACATGGCAAAGGACAGGGACACGGGGGGAGGTAGAGAATTGGAACCAATAATGCGACTGTTCTGTATTATATACATAAAGAAAGTGCCCAAATTGTAAATATACCACTTGATTGATCTGTGCAAACTGAACACATTCTTGTAACAGGCACCTAGGTCAAGAAATAGATTATTAGCATACCAGAAGCTCCCCTCATGCTTCCTTAGATCCCCTCCCTGAATAACCACTACTCTGACTTCTAATATCATAATTAGTTTTGTCTGCTTTTGAACTTGATATAAATGTAATCGTACAATATTTACTCTTTATGGGTGTTTTAATGGTGTTTTATCTGAGATTTGTTTTAATAAGGTATGTTGAGACATGCAGACATGGAAATGGCTATCATGAAGAAAGTGTACACTCACAGATCCCTAGAAATAGGAGGCAGAGCATGCCACGCAAGACCACATGCAAAAGGACCAGGATCAGTCAGGAGGCAGGTGGAGTGAGAGGAAAACGTGGACAAGAGCTTTTACTGTGATTCCCACAGGAAGGAAAAATGAGGCAGGGTAAGCAGGCTTAGGATTGGCTAATTTGAATAACTGCAGTGAGCTCTTGGTTGTAGGGACTATCTCTAGTTGTCTGATACCTGACTCTGGGGTGATTAGGGCAGGGGAATAGTGGTCCAGAGTCTAAGAGCTTGACGTCAGAAGCGGTTGTGGTATGGTTGGTGTGTGTGTGTGTGTGTGTGTGTGTGTCTGTGTGAATGTGTGTGTGAGAGAAAGAGAGAGGGAAAGGGAGAGGGAGAGAGAGAAAGAGAAATTACCTGGGAAATTCAGTAGCGATCCCAGGTCATGCTTTAGTGGTAGGAATAATCTATTTGTTGAGTGAAGCCTACCTCTTTAACAAAATGTTAACTCAATCCCCCAAATGTATCAAGATGATTCACAAGTAATTTAACAAAAGTCAACCCTCTTTAAAGGAAGACAAATTCAGACAAGTAACAATGTACCTTCACAATATCCAGCATCCCCCAAATTACTACACATGTTGCATTGACTTCTGATACCAACTACTGGAGTTGAGCCAAACTTCACAGGTTTAGGACACAGTCCTCCATAAGAGTGCCCTCACTTCAGACACCAGCAAATTCAGGGGTCTCCCGGCCATACACTCTTCTGAACAGCTAACTAAAATTTGGGGGTTCCCACTAACTCTTAAGGTTCAATAATTAACTAGAACAACTCATAGAACTCAAGAAAGCACTATACTTACGATTATAATTTTATTATAGCAAAAAAGATACAAATCAGATACAGCCAAAAGAAGAGATGAATAAGATGGGGTCTGGGAGTGGGGGTCCCAAACATTAAGTTTACTTGTCCTCTCCCCATGGAGTCGAGATCCACTACCTTTCCAGTACATCAGTATGTGACAATATGCAGTGCGTTGCCTACCAAGAAAGCTCGTCCAAGCTTCAGTATCTAGAGCTTTTATTAAGGTTTCATTATGTAAGTATGATTGATTGAATCATTGGCCGTGTGATTGAACTCTTTCTCCACCCCCACCCCCCCAGAGGTCAGGCTGATATCATGCGGCTTAAAGCCCCAACCCTCTAACCACAAATTTGGTCATTCTGGCATAGCCAGCCCCCATTCTGACTCATTTAGTTGGTATAAACTATCAGGGCCCTCATGTAGAGCAAAGATACTTCTATCACCCCGGAAATTCCAAGGATTTAAAGGCTACTTCCCAGGAGCTAAGGACAAGGTCAGGCAAATTCTTTATCCCAAGGGTTTAGAGGCTATCCCCCAAGGAGCCAGGACAAAGACAGACCTCTCTTTGGGTAAAGTTAATTTTTCACTACAGACATGTGAATAAACAGAAAAATGTGACACATAATCAGGAGGAAAATCAAGCAACAGAAACAGATCTAGAAATGACAGAAATAATGGGTTAACAGGCAAATGCTCTAAAATACCTATTTTAAGTATACTCAATATGTTGAAGGATTTTTTTAAAAATTAACATAACGAGAGAAATAGAAGATGTAAGAATGGAACTTCTAACAACAAAAACAGTTTGAAATGAAAAATTTGCTGGATGTGATTAACAATAGGTTAGACACTTCACAAGAAAAGATTAGTAAATTTGAAGACATAGTAATAAAAAAAATATCCAAGGGGCCGACCCAGTGGTGTAATGATTAAGTTCACGCACTCCGCTTTGGCGGCCCAGGGTTCACAGGTTCGGATCCCAGGTGCAGACCTATGCACTGCTTATCAAGCCATGCTGTGGCAGGCATCCCATATATAAAGTAAAGGAAGATGGGCATGGACGTTAGCCCAGGGCCTATCCTTCTCAGCAAAAATAGGAGGATTGGCAACAGACGTTAGCTCAGGGCTAATCTTCCTCACCAAAATATATATATCTCTTGGAGATATATATATATATATATATCTCCAAGAGAA